CGAAGGATTTGCTGGAGATACGTGCAATGCCACTGAGAATGGTCAGAAATGTTGTTTGTCTGAATTTTCCTGGTTTAATGCTCATTTGAATTTCAGATTAGGTTTGTATGGATCACCCTGTTCCCTGTGGAAAGCCTTACTGCTCAGAGGTTGCTCTTTCATAGCTTACTTAATGAGGCTCTCAGTTGTTTAATTTGATTTTCAACTTTGTCTCCAGCATTGACAATGCTTTAAATTTGTGATTTGTGTTCTGATTTTCGATTGCAGATTTTGGTATCTTGGCAACACCGTTTTAAACCTTAAGATTTTTTTCTGAAACAAGGAGACATATCATATTGCTCCTTTCTTTAGAAGAAAAATATGAGACATGGGAATCTCATTGCTGTCTAGGAAGAACAATTCAAATTCTCAAATAGGCTCAGTTCCAGAATCAAATCACTGAGGGTGCTTCTGAAATTAGTGAGGGTGTTCTAGCCTTAATGCGCATCTATTATGATATCACTATGTCGCTCATTGCAATTATGAGAGTGAATCCTGTATTTATATGTGGATGTCACTCCTGGAATTTTGCAGTGTGTATGTGGCCATTGGTCCTCTTAGCAGCATGAAAAACAAAACTGTAATTAAAATTCTGAATGGATTATATATAGTCTAGAAAGTGTGCAAAGAGTACTCCCTTTATAATCACTAAAAAGCTGACACTCATCTTGGTGCACAGTGATCTCACAAAGAGTTCCTTTGTAATTAATTAAGCTCTCTCCACTCATTTACATCAGGTTAACACTTTGTTATAATGAGAGGATTCGTGAGCGTGCATAACTCTGTCATTTTGAGCAGGATTTTACTTAACAACTTGTATGTCAGATATGTCTGTGATTAGCAATATTACTCATCACTGCAAAAACACGTAAATAGAAACCTTTTAAGCAAACACAAATATGTACTGTGATCTTGCTTTTGTTTGACTCTGCTTAGCACTTTCTAGCACCTATGGAACCAATCTTGATCTAGAGGTATTTTTTTTTCTTTCCTATGTGTTTGTCCATTTGTGATACTTGCATCGGAACTTTTAACTGTTTTTCACTGCAGGTCATTGTAATCCAAACCCATGTAAAAACGATGGCACATGTGAGGTGATCTCTAACTCCAGAAGAGGAGACGTTTTTAATGAGTATGTGTGCAAATGCCAACCTGGGTTCGAAGGTGCACACTGCCATATCAGTAAGTTTTGTACCACTTTTTTTCAGATTTACATTACATCTGTTGCACTTATTAAAACTACGTGACGATCACCCCCTTACATTTTTCACTCTTTGTTATATTGCAGCCATTTGCTAAAATCATTTAAGTTAAATTTTCCTAGTTTAATGCTCATTTGAATTTCAGATTAGGTTTATATGGATCACCCTGTTCCCTGTGGAAAGCCTTACTGCTCAGAGGTTGCTCTTTCATAGCTTACTTAATGAGGTTCTCAGTTGTTTAATTTGATTTTCAACTTTGTCTCCAGCATTGACAATGCTTTAAATTTGTGATTTGTGTTCTGATTTTCGATTGCAGATTTTGGTATCTTAGCAACACCGTTTTAAACCTTAAGATTTTTTTCTGAAACAAGGAGACATATCATATTGCTCCTTTCTTTAGAAGAAAAATATGAGACATGGGAATCTCATTGCTGTCTAGGAAGAACAATTCAAATTCTCAAATAGACTCAGTTCCAGAATCAAATCACTGAGGGTGCTTCTGAAATTAGTGAGGGTGTTCTAGCCTTAATGCGCATCTATTATGATATCACTATGTCGCTCATTGCAATTATGAGAGTGAATCCTGTATTTATATGTGGATGTCACTCCTGGAATTTTGCAGTGTGTATGTGGCCATTGATCCTCTTAGCAGCATGGAAAAACAAAACTGTAATTAAAATTCTGAATGGATTATATATAGTCTAGAAAGTGTGCAAAGAGTATTCCCTTTATAATCACTAAAAAGCTGACACTCATCTTGGTGCACGGTGATCTCACAAAGAGTTCCTTTGTAATTAATTAAGCTCTCTCCACTCATTTACATCAGGTTAACACTTTGTTATAATGAGAGGATTCGTAAGCGTGCATAACTCTGTCATTTTGAGCAGGATTTTACTTAACAACTTGTATGTCAGATATGTCTGTGATTAGCAATATTACTCATCACTGCAAAAACACGTAAATAGAAACCTTTTAAGCAAACACAAATATGTACTGTGATCTTGCTTTTGTTTGACTCTGCTTAGCACTTTCTAGCACCTATGGAACCAATCTTGATCTAGAGGTATTTTTTTTTCTTTCCTATGTGTTTGTCCATTTGTGATACTTGCATCGGAACTTTTAACTGTTTTTCACTGCAGGTCATTGTAATCCAAACCCATGTAAAAACGATGGCACATGTGAGGTGATCTCTAACTCCAGAAGAGGAGACGTTTTTAATGAGTATGTGTGCAAATGCCAACCTGGGTTCGAAGGTGCACACTGCCATATCAGTAAGTTTTGTACCACTTTTTTTCAGATTTACATTACATCTGTTGCACTTATTAAAACTACGTGACGATCACCCCCTTACATTTTTCACTCTTTGTTATATTGCAGCCATTTGCTAAAATCATTTAAGTTAATTTTTTTTAGTTAGTTTTTTTCCTCATTAATGTACACACAGCACCCCATATTGACAGAAAAACACAGAATTGTTGATATTTTTGCAGATTTATTAAAAAAGAAAAACTGAAATATCACATGGTCCTAAGTATTCAGACCCTTTGCTGTGACACTCATATATTTAACTCAGGTGCTGTCCATTTCTTCTGATCATCCTTGAGAGGGTTCTAC